ACAAGGGCTGGAGCATCTCAGAGACAGCCACCCCAAGCTGCAGGGAGATGCTTTTACGGGATTGCGCTACTGAACAGCTGTCAATCTTTGGAGTAAGTTGCTTCCTTTGTGCTCCCAGAAGTGCTCCCTTCATTGTGAATTGGCAGGACAGTTTCTACCCTACTTACCAAAATCCTGTCAAAGGCCGACGGTGTGCCACCTCTCTGCACATGTCCAAGTATGGTCACTCGTGTGTCGTATCCCAGCTGTGCCACCACCAGCTGCAGGAAATACCTCCATCAGGGGACAAACTACTTCTCAGCTCCAGCTCTGTCCCTTAGTGGGAGCCAGTGCAGGAGAAAAAGTTTTCTACTTTTTTCAGATCTACATGGGGAATGTTCTAATTCTTAAATTTTGGTTCTTGAAGGAACGCTTAGTTTAATAGCTAGCTGAAGATGGTTTTAAATAATACTTTTATTATCAAATAGAATTTTAATTTCTCCTACCTCGCAAATGAACATAAATAACATAATTTTTTAAAAAAGTTTCTATAGCTTATGTAAAAAGCATGATTAATACTTTATAAAAATGTGAACATTTCTGAACCGCCCTTCATTTGTATAGTGTTTGAAAAGAACCACACAGTAAGTCAAGGTGCCCTCTCAGGCAGGATGTGAATTGCAGTGAAGATCTGCTGTCCCATGGTTCTGGGGAGGGGATCGAAGGGGAGGGGAGGGGAAGACCTGTCTGGTCTGTGGTGTGAATTGCAGTGAAGACTAACAACCCAGGATCTGGACTCTGGGCTCTGCTGTCCCCTGTGAACACAGCGGGGTGGCTGGGACAGGCCATGTATCTGCTGGACTTCATTCACTCCTCTGCACAAAGAACGAGGTTGGGCTCTGAATTCCATGGTTCCGTCTCAACTTCAATAAAGTGGGAAAGCAAACTCTTTGCTCTCACTTTACAGATTGCTTCCTGTGATATAGTAGGTAGCTAGACAGTCATGAGCCGAGTAAGAAAGAAAGGCCAAGTACAGAAAGTCACCCAGGGCTGCCTAGCAACAGACAACTGCAGAGTAGACCTGGCCCCCAGGGTAACCTTTTGTCCCCTAGCATATCTCTGAACATTTATAGTTCCTCTTAGAGGAGGAACAAGGGCGCCTGAGAAAAGCCTCAAAAGATTTCCATACAAGCCCTTGCATGACCACTCCCTAAAGCATTAAGCCCTCAAGACAATGACCCACATCAAATAATCTTAGGAACCAAGCCTCAGATCTGTTTACCACAGAGACAGTTTTGGTCAAACTACAGATAACATCTAGGCCTCAGTTGTGTTTCAGCTCAAGGCCCAGAAAAGCTGCAAGGTTTCGAGCACCTTTTCCCCACCCCTTTCTTTCCCCAACTCATGCGTTTTCTTTGCCTTTTCTTTCTCCTAAGCTCCAAGGACCCTTCTTTTGCCTCTGTAACTTGTTTTCGGAGCCCACCCAGCCCAGCTGGCTCACTTCTTCTACCTCTGTGACTTTCTAAACAAACTTTTGCTTGTATTTGAGTCTTGGCTCTGAATTTTTTCTCAGCCCAAACTCAAGGACCGAGGCTTAACATCTGGTGCCATTCACCATTAACACTTAGAAATATTGGCTGATATCTTTCACAGCTATCTCTCAGTATTTTCAGATTTAGGTGCACAGCTGGTACAGGAATAAAGAAAGAAAAACAGAGAAAGCAACTTGCAAAGCAGAGTTGATAGCATCTTTTGCCCTGATGGGCAGCTTCAACCGGAGCCTGTCTGTCTCCCTGGTTTGTCTGGACCATGCCCAGGTGTCTTCATAACTGGGGAGCCTGGCTGATCCCAGTGATAGTGGGGAAGGGCACATAATCAGAATAGAGCCACAGTTGTTTAATGATCATTCACCTTACTAACTATAGATAAGTTTTCTTATAGACCCTGGGAAACTGGAGGATGAGACAAGGCTGTAAAAGATAAGATGCCTTGGTGGGTCCATCACTCAGAAAAGAAATACATTTTGAGAAAAGATAAAGGACAGGACACACTTTGATTTGGTTGCTGTGCCCAGACTCTGACTCCCTCCAGGAGTTTGCCTCAGGAACACAGACCATTCTCAGGTCCCAGGAATGAGCTGAGCTGTTTGTAACATCATAGAAGATTACCACCTTGTTATTGCACTTTGAGCTCCTGAAGGCTGGGCTGCAGACCCTCCCCTCCCCTTTCCATGTTACACCTGAAGTCTGAAGCTGCATGTAGTTATCTTCTCCCTCACCCATATATAATCAGCCAGCTGGCAAGGGGAGTCAGAGTAGAATTTCCAGGGTGACGGACTACTCTCCCCATACTGCCGGCATTATTGAAATAAACACTTACATATGATTCAATCCTGTGTCTGCTTAATTTGGCTCAAGTAGTGACAGGCAGCCTCAGACCCCTTGGGTCTGCCATCACCATCACAGGCCTGACAAGCCAGCACCTGCAGTGGAGCCCTGTAGCAATAGAACTGTGGTGTCAGCCCCTCTGCAGGAGGGAGGGGCAGTGACTCACATCCAACATTGGGCTTTCTTTGTAAATACATGCTCAGCCCATGCTTCCAGGGAGAGCAGGGGACAGGGCTCGCAGTTGGGGGCTGACCCTCCTGGCTCTCAGGGGCAGCTGGTGCCCTCCATTTCCCCTCTCTGTCGGAGAGATCTGGCCCCGTGGGGATATCCCCAACAGTCACCAGAGCAGCGCTGGCTCTCCAGAAGCTGGGAGCTATGTGATTCTCATGTTGGTAAGTTATGCGTCATTATGCAAATAGTTTTTACTATCAGGAAGAACAAAAAACTGTTTTCAGAATAATAATGCATCCTGTCAAACCCAGCCCCTGCCAGTTGTGTTAGCACCTCCCGTTCCCAGGCAGGTGGTAGAGGGGCGGTGGGAAGCTGGACACACTTACCTCCTTGATTTGCTCTGAGGTAATAGGTTTATTTTGGGTATCGATTGCTCCTTCGGCCACAATGATGATATTCAGCCTTTTTTTCTGGGCCCGGTTCTAAGGAAATAGAAAATTAAAATCTTCTAATGCCTAAAATGCTCTTAACAAAACCAAAGCCAGTCTGCCCCAATTGAACTGGCCTCTTGACAGGTAGAAATGTTCACCTAATTCTACAAGCGCTGTTTACTAAGGACGCAGTAAGATGGTAAGGTGCTCTGGGAAAGCAGGCGCGGGAAGGTGGTGTGGTGAGGGTGGGGCTTCATCTGGTGATGTCACCACAGCTATTGGCACCCAGGCAGCCCCAGGTTGGGAGGCTGTGCTGATTGACCTTTGACTGTGATCCCGATATCCATGTGTCCCTAGGCTGGCTCCCCCAGGCAGTCTCCATTGCAAACCAGACTTCCTACCTCCTTTGGAAGCCAGACTCCCCACCACCTTTCAGGAATCCTGCCCCAACCCAGGAATTTTTGGCCATTGGGATCAGATGATAGAGCCCCAAGCCCAAGCAAGGGGCAGGAGGGCATAGGAGAGAAAGTGGGAAAACTCAGACCTAGCTGGGTGAGAAGCTGCCCTGCATGGGAACAGGCTGTGACACCCGGGCTTCTGCTGTCCTCATAGGCTCGGGGCAGTCACCCAAGGATGCCCTGGAATCATTCTCTGTGATTTTGTTCTCTATAAAGTCTCCCATTAAGGACCCTCCTGCAGGGTCCTTAAGCTGTGTAGGGCAGTGAGGCCCCAAGTGGGCAGTGCTGGAGCTGCCCCTGCCAGGAGCCCAGAGGACATCACCCAAAGTGAGCTGTTCTCACGAGGCCGCCCCATCCCATGACCGAGGTCACAAATACATATGCCCTTTGGTTTTTGTTTTTTTGGGGGGGTTTTGATAGATAGTAATAGATGTGCTCCACTTTAGAGAATTATTCATCAGAAGTTTTCTGAAAGGCATAAAGATGTGACTCCAAGAGTGCTTACTGTAACATCATTGGAAAAACCAAAGTCAGAAGGAATAACATGTCCATAAATATGGACTTGGCTACCTTCACCCATGTGACATAATATTCCAAGGCGGTGAGAAATAACAGAATCGTCTGCACACTTATGTGGGGAGACAGCCTTGTCCACACAGGTCACTGGACACCTGCTGGCTCACCATCTGGACGGACTCATTCACTCACTCACTCGTCACAAAACTGCTAAGGAGCAGCACATTCCCCATGTTATAACCCCGGGAAGGCAAGGTGCCCGATGTCCTCCTGGGGGTGGCAGGGCCAGGATCCAACCCCAGGCCTTCTGATCTCACAGTCTTTCCCAATCCTATACTGAAATGCCCAGGATGGGGGCACCCTGTGGCCTGCATCCTGGGCTAATTTATCCAGAGAGACATTTGGAAAAATCCTCCTGGTGCTACATTATCAACCAACAAAAATGAACTGCAGATATAACAATATCAAGTGTTTTCACACACAGGCGAGCACTCAGGGGGCCAGCACGTTCTAACTCATGCTTGGCTGGCAGTGCAGCTTATAAAGTCTGCGCTGCACTGAAACTCGAGGAGCTTGCAGACAAGACCACACAGTTAAGAAATAATGGGCAAACCTAAAATCTGTGCCCAATCCCTTACTGACGCCTCAGCCCCGCAGCCTCAGCATGACCTCCGGCCTACAGGGAGGGTGTGTTTCCCTGTCCCCAAAAGCAGCCGTCAGTACTTGGCCTATGACAGTATCATCCAGAGCCAGGCCAGGGACTGTCAGGGCAGAGGAAAGCTGCCCGAGACACGCACGGCCTCTTGGGGCTTGCGGCCCTTTGCAATGTCCTGTGTGATGGTAATTAAATGGACGTCCCCAGCAGCACAGAAGTACCCATCTAGGAGTGCCACCCTCCTCTCACGCAGCCGGCCACGTATCTCCCAGTACCGGCTGGCTGGCAGAGAATGCCACCACATGCTCAGGTCAGACGGAGAAACAGTGGACTCATTTATCACTTCCACGCTAGTATTCGTACTTTGGACATTCCCTGTCACCACTGGTCTATTTCCGGCTAAGAGCTCCACCTTCAAACAGGGGCCCGACTCTTCCAAGCAAAGGTGCAGCTCAGCTGGTAGTTTATGTAGTGTTTGAGTCAGCAAAGCTTATCTGGTACTTTGCTTGAATTCCTGTCTTTGAATCTGTTACTGTGAAGGTGACGGCAAGGTCTTACTGCCCCTGTGTCCTCACTGTGGGCGGGGCTTATGCATTTGCTGTCTACAACTGTAATTAGTCTATGCCATAGGCTCACATTCGTCACCTGTACACGAGTGATAAGAGGGTTGTAAAATAAAGCCTGGGAAATTCTCCCCACATGCTGGGATTTCTGTCCCGAAAGCTGTCGTTTTAAGTGAGGCCTCACGTGCCTTAATTAGATCTGCCTTACACAAATAATCTACAGTGTGAAACACACCCAACTACAGACAGGAGGGAAAAGCCTGCTTTGGAGTAATTCCCAACCTGATGTCCAGCCCAGGGCAGTGGGGACACACAGCTGAGAGAACCACGGTAACAGGTGTTAAGGTGGTGGGAGATTCAGATTAGAGTCAGAACACAGGCCTTCCCACTGTTATGTGGAGATAAAACAGGAAACAGACTTTCTCCCCAACACTGGTATCTTTCAGTAGCTGCAATCTCATGGTACCCCCC